AGATATTCAATTTTTTTTGGGTAACATGACTTTTGGGCCACCCTGTACTTTTTGAAATAAAGTTTGAGTCAATAAACAAAAAAAGTGAAACATTTTGTGTAAGTATGTCAACATGATACCTCTTGGTTTGCAGAAAGTTACTCTTTCTGATTAATTGCCTATTTTGGAGAAAAAATTCTGATTTTCTTCTGATTTTGAAAATAAGAACTTCTGACTTTTAAGTTGTTCACTTGACAAGCCTGGTGCACACATTTTATTAAAATTTCAAATTACGAAAAATATAAAAAATAAAATAGAAAAATAGATGAAAAAGTAAAAGAGACAACTAACTACTAACTAGGTGACATTCGACGATACTTGATAGGAATGTTCGATTCTGATGCAGTATCTGTCCCATAGTTTCTACAAAGAAAGAATAGTGAATTAATTCAGTACCATCAAATAATCAAAGAGATAAGCACAAAAAAGAATGCTGGAATAATGGAATAAAATCCAAGGATATTCTCTCCATGAGTTATCATCTAAACACTATATTAACAAAACATACTTGACTTATTTTTTTCAATTAGGAGGACAACAACAACAACGACCAACAGTATTGCGACAAGAATTACCACAACTAGCACAAAAACCACCACCATTATCAGGATCAAAACCACAAGCATTACAACAGATAATATCGCAAGGAAGACAACAAGCACGAAAAGCACGGCAAATAGCATCAAAACAACCACCACCAGAATCAGTCATTGTATTAGTAATCAGAGAGAGCAGCAGAAATAAGAGACGGAGTACTGCGCCTGTGGTAGTTATATTTGTGATATTTGTTGTCGTCCTGTTGCTGCTTTTATATGGTAATCAATGGGCAGAAAAGAGAAAAATATCAGAAGCAGTTCTGTATTAAATGTATTACGATGACAAGCAATAGCAAGCAGCAGAGAAATTCATTAGCAACGAACGAATGAAGGAAAAAGAACAGTAAAACATTGATATTTTTATTGATGAATAATTTCTCCTTTGTATGTATATGCAGTCAAGGTCTACATGTCCTAGATGGATTGAATCGACAGATCAGTCCCGAAAGAACCAATGCCATTGATTGATTGATTGATTCATTCATTGATTCATTCATTCATTCATCGTGTTTGCATCCGATTGCTTCAAGAGCAAGAGCTTTTCATTCTCTAGCTGTCTTGCATTATATTGGTGAGATTCACGCAATTCAAAATTTCGGCAAAATTTTGTTTTCAATTTTTTCCTATGATTGACTAGAGCAAATTGAGTTGCCTTACCTAGGAAAGTGTCGCTTCAATTTTCAAAAGCAGACTTCAATGAAATTTTCAAAAAACCTTGATTCTCAATCCTGAAAGAATGATTCATCACAGCGTTAAATGTTTGGAGTAGATGCCTAATTCGAGTTCGAATGTAAATGGAAAGTTGAAAAAAAAACTCGGGCCCATCTTACAATAGCAAAAAAGCAAAAGATAATTTTGATCCTGAGGATGTGAGTGTTTAAAAAAGAAAATGATTACCCGCCGACATCAACACTCTCATACCCACACTCTCACACCCTAATTTGTACTTGTGGTTCTAAAGAATATACTGTTAATTTCGTTTTAGTCACACATATTTCTCGTTGATTATCGAATATTCACGATTTGTGTTTTATTCTGATGGACGAATTACTATAATATGAATTGTATATCAGTTACATGATGAAGGTATTAATAAACCTTTTGAAGTAATAAATTACTTGAAGAGAATGGTTGAATTACACTTCATGATCAAAATAATATTTGGCTATTTTCAACGTTTTTAAGCAGAAAAATGAAAGAACACATTATAACTCATTGATATGATGAATCAAATGATTGATCACGTTACAACGGATTTATTCTTGTATCAAGAGGTTTAAACGCATTTAATAGGCAAATTGTAGTCATCTGATGCGTTTAATGCATGTTTATATATCACTCAGAAGCAACTAAAGATATATCGTTTAAACTCATTTACCGTTATGTTTTTCTAGTAATAACGCGTTTTAACTTGAATAAAACGAAAGCTTTTCACGAAACTTTCTATTTCTCCTATTGTGTTGATGATAGTGCTAACTAGTAGCATCGAACTTCTCTGTTCTGTGTTTCGTTGTTACTACAACACAAAGAGTAACACTCAAAACTATTCAGTAATTCCTATTGATCCTTATCTAATCGATACATATCATTTTATTTATTACCAAGCATCTAAGTTTATAAAATAGACTCTTAATTAAATATTCTATAAGACATATAGGGCTCCAGTTTTTTTATTTCCGCGATGCTCTGCTTAGATTTATTTTTCATGCGCTAATCTTCTCAAGAATAACCAAGTCAAGTAAGTCGAAAAATCTGTTTTTCAAAATCAAAAATATTATTTTGATCACAAGAATTACTGAAGATTCATATATTTTCTCTCACTCTTTCTTAGTTAGATCTATATTCTTGTTAAAATAATTATACTATATCATTTTAACAATATAAGTACCCATCGATTAAAATTTAATTCAAATTACTTGAGGAAAAAATATATTCATAACAAGCTTTAATATGAATCTGTTAAATCTGGATCAAAAAAGGTCGCTACTAAAAAATAGTAAACATAAGAATAATTCATGATATGTATAAAAATATAAAAAAATTGTTCAATCGTGTTTTTATTAACTTCCTTTTGATAGAAATATTTTGATCTCTTATTGATTTGTGCCATCGAAATGATATATTTATATACTTTCTAAATATCAAAGTGCTTTACCAAATATATTCTGAGTAACACAAAAGAAACTTCTATATTAGATACTTGATTCATTGTATATCCTATATATTTACGTGAATAGTGCTTATACAGAAAAATAGTGTATGATATGCACTTCGTTTTTTCTAGTTCAATATTTAATCTGGCAAAATTTAAAATTTAACTTTAGCTTGCAAATAGTGAAAAACTCTTCTTGTGAATAAACAAGATCCGACACTTTAAATTTAGAATGCATGAGATCCTTAACACTTGAGATAGTTTTCTTGTAATTTTTTTTTGTTATGTGCAAAATAAAATGAAACAAAAAAAAATTGCTAGAAAGCTATCACTCGATTATTTACATTTACATGACCATGAACTTATTCTCTGAAAGGAAATGAAACTACACTACTATTGTATGCTCCTTAACTTCCGACTTTCTTCGAATGGATGTTACTCGGTATCTCTTATTAGTAAAGATTTATTTTAATATTGATTGTAATATTAAGGTACATGGATTGTATTATATCTATTCTTTCCTAATTTAAATGCGTTGTTTCTATCAACGTACTAAATTGCTCTCCATTGGAATGTATTGTACTCTGTCAAAAATATTCGGAATTACGAGTTATAGCACGTTTGAAATAAAAGAAAAAAACGAACTGTTTTAGCGCGTGAATATCATGTTTCTACCTGTATGGGCAGTATTCAAAACTTGTTTTTTTTTGTCAACTTAATTCTTGGTCTTTTGTATGAGCTGTTTAATAAGATCTATGATAAGACGAATGATACATATCCAATTCATTATGTTTTCGTTTGTGCTGGTCTTCTTGTACTTTGTACTTACGGTTTCAATGAACAACTGATCATGAGCAACCAACTCTTCTGTCGATTTTCAATTACTTCAGAAAATTTTGTTATTGTTCCCCAATTAAGATTGATAAAGAATCAAGGTATTACAGACAAGACAATGACGTGCTATCTGACGGAGTTCAGATCTTCTAGAGCATTGTACGTATGTTATTGGCTCTATCATTATCAAATGAAACAGTATTGGGAACTGCTTGTATTCACCAATGAATGTCTTCAAACAATGCTTGATTTATATTTCTATATTCGTATATATTCACTATTGAATAAGGATAATCTATGTGAACTCATGAAAGTTGCACAAGGGTATGGGTGTGGGTGTGTGATGTGTACACTAGAGCACATCCAGACCCCACACCTACACACCCTCGTTTGTCTTCGATTCAATTGCAGCATCGAGAAATGAGTCTTGTCGAACCTATCGGCTATTCTTTATTTAATCAATCTTCATCGAATACAATCGTCAAACGTTATACAAAAACTTATATCTTTGATCGATTGAATATAATGAATAAGAACGGATTTATTTCAGTCAATGATGTTCTTACGGCATGGTTAACTTAAATAATAAGTCGAATTTGTTGCATTTCTCGTCAATCGGACGGTCAAAATTGGTATGGCTATGAATGTTCGAACTTTCTTGCCTGATATTGATGCCGTGAACCTGTGAATGCCATTGTGGAATCGATAATACTAATGTCACGGTTACCAATGTCCAGCAAGTGCTTCAAAAGATGGTCTGAAAGAGTTCAGAATCATTTTTTCTTGCACAGAACAATATGAAATGCAATTTTAGAACGTGTTTTGAAGTGATTTTTATTTAGGGCGATTTTGTGTACAAACCATCCCTCGTCCTTTAGAAATACAATAAATAAAATGTAATGTTAAATTATAATGTCATATTAGAAAATAGAATAAATAACTTCATCAGCATTTTATAAACTATTATTAAAACGAATTAAAAGTAATTGTATAAGTAAATCGAGTGCACCAGCTTGAAAATCACTTTTATTTGAATAAGCATACTTTTTAAGACTAATTTTAGTTAAAAAAAACCTATAAAATAGAATCGATCGAATTTGGTTTTTTGTTGTCTATTTTACTTTCGTATCACAATTTATACTTGATGTATGGCCTGAACTAAATAAATAAATCATCGATTCTCGAATAGTTATTGTATATGAAAATCAGTTAATGAATTAGATAATCATTATTGTGAAGAATTATTTGAAAATGATGAAACAATAACTAGTTGATGAAGATTTTATAAAAACAAAAAATTAAATGAGATATATTTAGATATAAATTATTTATAGAGGAAGCAAAAGAAAGATGTTAAGTGCAATCCATTTAAGATTGTTCGCTTCTACTGATTTTAAGGCATATTAACGATGCGTTCGCGATAAACAATCTGTGTCATGTTTCAAATTTTCTTGTTCTCTAAAGACCATTGATTTATTGATGTGGAAACATAACATTTCAATGATATTTTTAAATGCATATTATGGTAACAAAACAATTGGTTTTGAGACTTTGTTTTGCTATTTCTATCCTAATATAGAACTTTTCTAATAACATCTATTGCGAATCGCTCATGTAAACTAGATAATTTAATATTCGTTCTTGTTAAGACTGTCAATATTGATTAAATCAGTTTTTATTCTACTATGGCATTCTTCTATTGATAATATCCTTTTCTATATGTTAGACACTTTCACAAAGCTTAATTGCAAAATTTTCATTTAAACTTTTGTCTGTAAAACAAGTTTGAGATCTAAAAGAATATCTTAAAAATTTTAGCTCAGCCAATCAGTAGTAAAAAAATCAAGATTCATAATTAAAATTTTCTTTTGAATAAATCTTTCCTATTTACAAGTAATTATCTTATATGTGCATTGAATTCTTTTTCTTTTATCAACAGTGAATGTTTATTTAAAGTAATTAAGTATTTCATCGAAATATTTCCAGAAATTTTCCGTCGAAATAAGACCTCAAACTTATTTGAGACACATTTATGTTGTTGAAAGTAAATGTACAAAACGATCATTTTCAAATGAATTTAATAAAATTTAATGTATTGTGATATGATCATTCGAATAACTTTATCATTGATGCATTATTTCCCAAAGTACCTAATTATCTATATGATTAACTTATTTTTTTAATCTTTTTTCCTATTCTTTATATTTTTGATACTGTGATGAATTTTTACTTGATGTCATTGAATTTGTACTATTAATATGATTTAAATGTTTTTCATTCTTTTTAAAAATAAAAAAACAAAACAAATGAATTTGTTCAGATTATTTTTTTTTCATTTATTCTTTTTCTAATGTTAGAAAGATGTCGTGTCGTTTATCTTTCTTCTTTTTAAGTGTAGGTATAGTAGATCAAATTAATTTTATGTTTAAAAATATTTTTTTGAAATTTCGAATTTTTCAAAAGTGTCATATATACATTATTAAGATATAAACAAAGATTTTTCTTTAAATTCCATTAAAATATTCTTTATAGATATATAAATGATTATTTCGATAACTAAGATTCCAACAATATTGATGAGATCATGTATGATGATCAATTTTTTATAAGTTACTTTTCTAAGCATTTGTGTAGAAATTTTTGCTGTTATATCCATAAGACAATTAACTTTTGTGGAACTCACATATAGGGTAGTGGGTGTGGGTATCTCTTTTAGAAGACGCGAATCGACACACCCGCACCCGAATCACACGGCTTAAGTAGACTAAAAGCCCATCTTAGGTTCAGATTCCATAGACTATGGTGCGCTCAAATAATTGTTTTCTACTACGTCAAATTGATAGATTTGCGCAGTACATAAAAACTTTTGTACGGACGTCAAGATTTTTTGCCGCTATTGGCAACAAATAGTAACATTTATTGAAACAGACCTAGAAACTGTTTTTGAGAAAACTTTTAGTTTTGTGTGGCTAAATGTCTAATCTTGGATCAGTCATGATTTAAAGTGGGGTTCTTTTGTTAAAAGTGACGAAGTACTGCATAAAAAACCTGAATCATATCAGCTAGTAGCTGCCAAAGACTTTCATCATTTTTAGCAAGTAAGTTTACATATCCGATCATTAGTGTTATGAGAGCAACTCTTCTCGATTATTCTTTCTGTTCTCAGAAAAAATTTGTTGTTCTCGCCCATATATTCTCTTTCGTGGAAAAAAAATTGTTATTCTTGTTCTTACACTCTCTTTCTCAGAAAAAAAACGGTTATTCTTATTCTTACACTCTCGTTCCCGGAAAAAAATTTATTTCCACTTTCATGAGCAGAAGCGTCAACCAATCCATACATCGGCGGTGTGTAAGTGTGGCTTTTTCTTCTTTCAGCAGCGACTGAAAATACTCAACCTTTTTGTTTGTCAGCGGAGACGAGTGAATTTGTTGGACGATTCCTTTAAGGTTTTCTTATTTCTGAGAAATTGTCGGATGGAAAAAGGGAAAACAATGGTAGAGAACACACTGATAAAAAAATCTAGACAGAAACATCGTTGACAAGTGATCTCAGGCGTCGAAAAATTTTCAAAACTGTTAATTTTTTTGTCCCACCAACAGCTACGACTCAGCTCGTCGATTTACACTTCTAATCGTAAGACTTCAGGAATTCATATTTCTCTTTTGTTTTTAGATTTTAAGATAACCGTGACACGACTTCAAATTAAAAATATAATTATGATTGGAGCTACAGTAGGTTAGTTACGTAAAAATAAAAAGCTGTTACATACATGTATCTGAATATGTATGACAATACGAGAAAAAATGTGGTAACGTCAATACTTAATGGAGTTCCCATTGCCATAAGAAATGGAACGAGAAAACGACGTGTATAGAAAAATATTCTCGTAGAACAAAATCTTTTCAACACAATAAAAACATTGATGATACAATGTCGTTTTTGTGAACACTGCTGCTTGGACATTATTTTGTTTATTAGCAAAGCAGATGGAAAACAATTCTTGCGAGAGTTGAAAGTCAATGAAGATAATCATCGACATGTTTTCTTAAATCCACGTTTTTTGACACATAAGTTGCAAATGCTTTTCTTATCTCTATCAGTGTCATACATTACGAAATACGAGTTTGAAATGAAAAACACTAACTTTGTTTCATCAAGATGGCATCAAAAAAATTGACTTACTCCACATTTTTTATTTTCTGATGCGAATCTTGTAAAAAATTGTTGAGCCTACCCTAGATCCAAAACGTTCCGCCACCTGAACATGGCCATATTTTTCTGAAGACTGAATTTGTTTCAGTAGGTTTGAATTATTTAAAGGATGATTATAGAACTCTGTACAACTGAGATGATTATTCATTTTAGTTCCTAATTATGCACCAATAAGATTGCACTTCAAATCGTTTCTATTCTTAGCCCACAAAAATTTCATATGGCTGGAGGTCAATTCACAAATAGCATTCTAGGTTGATACAGAAAAAGCGAACTAAACTAGTTTTGTAAATGAGGTATATTTTAACCGTCAAGAAGATAAGCTCACAAATAAACGCATGTTATCAGGCATAACAAGCAGAAACGACGTGCTTTCTCATTGTCTATTGCATCTATGAAATAGTGTGATAGTTCTCTTTTTCTTTGTCTTATTGATTCAAAATATCACTACAATTGAACGCGACAGAATCCTTTAAAAAACCAGGAGAAATCAGGAGAAAATCATAAAAACCAGCTCCTAGATCCAGGAGATTTGGCAGCCCTGGCTCACCCACACCCTCAAGTTTCTGTGAGTGATGTTATTAGTATCTATGTTGCTACACATAAAGTAGAGATGATAATTTTTGGACTCGTCACAGGGCAAGACAGAAGGCTCTCTCATTGTAGATAACGGTGATTGCCGAAGAAGGTAATGAGTTGAGAATAGTGCTGAGGAAGATGAATGATCAACGATGTAAAAAAGCGATAAGGACAAACTTTAGAGGTAGATAGTTAGAAGGATGATATGAATACACTATACACTACCTAAATTTTGTTTAACGGCAGCAGATCAGATAAAGCATGTCACATTTTCACAGTGCTATATGGCGGTAAACTTCAGGCAAACTTACCAATGATAATCTTGCTGTTACGAGTGGCACCTATACACACTATTGATTGAACTGAATTTCCTTCTTTTCTGAGTAAAAGCCTGCAATGATGCGAAATATTCTTATACTTTTTTCTGATGCCTTTCATGTCCAGATTACGTTCGATTAGTCGAAGAAACAATTCTTCTCCGGAAATTTTTCCGAGAGTGGGACACAAACCAGCCGACAAATCAAACATCGTTATTATTCACGATAAAGTTGCGTTGTGTTTACTTTATGATAAAGGCATCGATAGATTTTTTTCTCTATCGCTCGCGTTCGCTTGAGTTGATACTGGGAAGAAAAATGTTGCTTTTATGGTTCGCCTAAGCTATGGGGAAATAGTCCGCGGCACTTTTCCTATCGATATAAATAGAAAAATTTCTAAGAACTTTTTTCCATATCTTATATCATAAGATGCAGTGTGAAAAGCTTTACAATTTACATAAGACTGCTTATTT